ACATTGATTTGGAAAGAGAGCTCCAGGGCTCCTAGTTGACATCAGGTCACCATACGGAAATGTTTTCCCATGTTCATTCTTCCAGCCACTCAAGGGCCACTGAAGTCATGGTCCAAGGGGCTCAGATACTGCTCAAACTGGTAGCAGACCTTGATGTTGTCCATATGATACTGTTTTGGAAGCAAACAGAAAGCAAGACTTAAGGGGAGTCATGAAGCTTCACCTAGATTGCAAAAGAAAGCCTGGGAGGATAGGCAGTGTGTGGCAAGATCAGGATCCCTATAGGCAACCCCTAGAGGGGTTGCAATACGTGACGCTGTGTGGATAAAGCTACTAGAGATGTCAGAAATGTGGAATAGCTGAAGAAAGCTGTAGGTATTGAGCAGAGCTATCCCAAAAGAGAGGCCATACAGGCTGCAAACAGCAAGGCCATAGCAACAGGGCCACCTAAACTCGCTTGGAGCTCATATCACAGCACCACATGCCATGGATGCTGAACACAGATCTATACTATTTAAGGTTTGTCCTGTTGGGTCCTAGTCTTACTTTTGTTCCATTTCTCTTTTCTATGCCCCCATTTCTCCTTTTTGGAATGGAAATGTTTCCTCTGTGCCATTGAGTGTAGGTTGTACATACCCTTCTTTTACATTTTACAGAGATTCACAGCTAATAGTTTACCTGGAGTCTCAAGAGACTTTGGATGTTTTAACAATGCTAGAACTATTAAGATTACAGGGGCTCACAGAGATAGACTGAATGCATTTTGCATTACGAGATGGACATGAGCTTTTAGGGAGCCAGGGATAGTGTGAATATGAAATATCCCCAATAGGGTCATATATTGGGGGCTTAGTTGCCTGCTGATGGACTTTTGGGAAGTGACTGGATTCTAAGGGGTCTGATCTAATCAATCCCTTGATAGATTCATTATATGATGACATTATTGGGAGACAAAATTAGGCGATGGGGCTGGAGAGATGGCTCAGTGGTTAAGAACTCTGACTATTCTTGCAGAGGACCCAGGTTCAATTCCCAGCACCCACATGGCAGCTAACAACCATCCCTAACTCCAGTTCCAGGGGATCCAAAGCCTTCTTCTGACCTCTGTGGGCATTGCACGACATGGGTGCACATACACACATGCAAGCAATATACATACACATAAAATAAAAATACTTTTTTAAAGTGGGAAATAAGGGCCGAGTGTGGTGGTGCATGCCTTTAATCCCATCACTCGGGAGGCAGAGGCAGGCAGATATCTGTGAGTTCTAGGCCAGCTGGGGCTACAGAGAGAGCCTGTCTCAAAGAGACCCTGTCTCAAAAAGACCAAACAAACAAACAAAAAAAGGTAAGAGATAAAGCCTACTTGAAGGAAATAAGCCACTGGACGCATGCTCTGGAAAGATGCATCTTGTTCCCTGCCCCTTCGCCTCCTGTCTGCCATTGAGTGGCTATGTTCTACTATGAGCACACCACAATGATGCTCTGCCTTATCACAGGCCCAGAGGATGACAGTCTGAAACTCCCGAAGCTGAGTGCCACACACAATCTTTCCTTCTTTACATTGTTTCTCTTGGGTAACATCATGGTTACAAACAATATTTAAAAATTAAAAAAAAAACTAATAGAACCATCTTTCTGCCCACTGGCTAGATCCTTGGTTAGAATATTGTACCTGCATTAGTGTACATAATAAAATCCTGTCTATAAAAGCAATAACAAATAAAAAGTTGCTCATAAAGAATTCCATGCCATTGAGAGGCCAGCAGTTTAACAGCTCAGTGGAAACTTGAAGTAGCTTTGAATGCAGTGAAGTGGAAGATACCAGGAAAAGCTGGCTGGCTCAAGCCAGCTTTCTTACCGACAGGGAGCCCTTGCCATCTGAGGGTCAAACATCATTCATTCCTGCCAACCTTTAGTAACTAATTTATGGCCATGTTTTGGTTCGCTTCCTAAGAGTTAAAGGTCATCTGTAGTGCAGGAGCATTCTTTTTTTTTTTAAATAGATACAAGGTAGTACCACTAACTTCCTCAAAACTATACACAAAGTCATATTCTGGTGCACCTATGCTGACAGCTAGACAAGTTCAAACAGAAACATGAACTTCAAGACTGGATTGCATATATAAATGAGGCAATAGGAAGCCCCTAGCTTATTGGGTGAAAAATAAGGTTCTTAGCACTCAGGATCCTTGCCTGGCCTGCAATACAGAGCCAGTGTCTGACAAGAGACAATCAGACCAGAAAGCAAAAGAGAAATTGGTTCTTTTACATGCAGCCCTAGCCATTCTGCCTCCAATTTAGAAATGTTTTTGTCTCCGAATCATCTCATCCTGCCATATCCATTTCTTAGATGCCAAATTTCCATTTCAAACCTGTTTTATGGTTTTTGTCATTTGACAGGATGGTAATTATTCATCCACTGTTTAACAATAGGTATCCTCTACTCTAGAATTGAAAGAAATGAGCAACTTACATGGCTTTTGGTTTTCATTTAACAAACCAACTTTAAGTGTGCCAGGAATTTCCCCAAGAGCCTCATAATTGATAATACATTTAATTCATATAAATCAAGGAACAATCAAGTGGAGGTAAGTGTTACTAAAATTGGATCCCATTACACTGGGGGAACAGAGTTCTTAGACTTTGTTTTCTCAGGCTTAATAAAGGCTTGCCTTCATTCTTAAGATATTCCCCCACTTTGGTTTGTTGCCTTTAAAATACACTGTAGGGAGGGAGGAGGCGAGAAAGGGGAGGAAAGAGAGAGGGGAGGGGAGAGAGGGGGAGAGAAAAGAGGGAGAGAAAGATGGGAGGGGAGAAAGAGGGAAGGAAGAAGGAGAATACATTTTCATAGAAACCTTGAAGCTTCCTCCCCTAAATGAAACAAAATCCCATCATCATCTGCTGGTATCTAGTGCATGTATATACTATATATCCGACACAAATGTGTGTATATCTATCTATATAAAACATGTACAAAAATGTTCATAAAAGCATTGTTTTTAATATTCCAAATCTGTAACAACCTAAAGGCCCATAATCAATTAAATGAAGAAATCATGGCATATCTATACAAATGGAATATTCTACAGCAACAAAAATGCTAGTGATACACACAACAGCATATATGAATCCCACAAACATGAAGCTGAAATCAAGAAGACATGAAAAGAGCATTTTGTAGGGTTCCATTAATATGAAGTTCAAAAACCAGCAAAAATAATCTATGAAGATTGAGGCTACAACATTGGTTACCTATGGAAAGGGAGGGGCTGCCTACAAAGCTGAACAAGGAACTTCTGTGATGATGAATATGTTTTTTTTTTAAATTTTGGTAGAGATGTTGTTTACTTGGGTATATTAATTTCTCAAACTCATCAAATTTTATACTTAAGATCCACACCTTTTACTATCCACAAAAATTTATCTTGACTTAAAAGAGAAAGGAAGCGGGGGTTATATGATTCCTGGAAGCCATTGGCTCCTGTTTTGACGCTTAATCCAACTGCTGAAACAAGGTACAGCCTCTGAGGCTAGGAAACCAGATGCAAGAATTTCCAGCACGCTCTGAACCCTCGCTTTATGGACCCCTTGTTGAAAATGTCATTCACTCAAAGGTTGATGAGGACATGACAGACCCCATCGGCTCTCAAGCTAAGTTGAATGCATTGCCAGAAGGCTCCTCTGGATGATTTGACAATATTAAGTAGCAGCTCCAACCGGGGGCAAGAGAGAGGGGATCTAGGCATGATTCTTAAAATATTTACTTCTTCCTATATATTATCAATGAAGGAAGGGAGACAGTAGAACTAAAGCATTCAGTTACCTGGGATTTCGTAAGTCTGAAGTAGCAAACTCTTAGTTATCCTTCAAAACCCTAGTAGTCATGTTTGGATAGGCATATGACCACCTACCTAGAAACTACATTTCCCAACTTCCCTTACAGCAAGATGGAAGTCATGTGACTGAGTGTTCACCAAGGAAATGTAAGAAGCAGTAATTCACTTTAAAGAAAATCACTTTCCTTTCCCCCAATATGCTTGCTTTCCCCGCCACCCCAATACTGTTCCATAGGTTGTCACACAGTCGTAGTGACCTAGCTTCAACCATGCAGATGAGGCCAACATTCTAGAAGATGAAGAGAACTTATAAAACAGTTGGGTCTTATGTCCAAAAACAATTCCCAGAGCAGTGCTGAGCCACTAGCCCGGTCTATTCAGCTCTACCCTGCTTTGCAAAAAGAAAACTTCAATCTTATTTAAATCATTGGAGTTTCAGGCTCTTTGTTACATCAAATTATTTAAGCTTTTAAGGCTTGTGGTCTCTAAGCAGGGCTTTCCAAGTTTAACATACAGTCTACATAGGCTTAGCACTTTGATTTCCTAAGTTCAGATTATAAAAGTACATAAAACTAACTCTGTGCTTGCCTATCATACAACATCAATCTTATTGTTTCAGTTAGGCCCCCATAGCCTACAAGATACTATCAATGCCTTCTCCATGCCCATCATCCCATTCTCTATGCTGACTCTTACATCCTGCATTGCTTCTCTAGCATCTCGTGTTCTAGTTGCACTGGATTTTCCAATACACCTTGCACAAAAGAACACTATGCTCCAACTCAGGCCAAATGGAATGGTTTTTTCACAATTCCTTACACCCTACCCTCTCCCATCCATGATGTAATTCTTCAAAACTCAACCCAGAAAACACAGAGAAGCTTCTCTACCCCTAAGCAGAATAACTCCTTCCCTCTGTTATACTTTTGAATCACCTTGGACAACCCCTTTATTAAACCACTTATCACCATGTCTGATCTCATAGCTAGAATATTTATAATTCAATATATACGCAAAGTCCCACAGGACAAAGAGACTGTACCTTACCCATTTTTATACCCTTGGCAGTTGTTGGCATATGACCTGTCTCATACCTGATGAGTGCTGATAAAAAGAAGAATTCATCAGGTGTTTGCAAACCCTATATACAGTCATTCTTACCTATTTAGTGCAAATGCATAGTGGAATTTAATATTATGTTGATCAGCCAAATCACACGTAGGCAGCATCTCCAGTGTTTCTACCAGCTTGACCATCGCATTATAGTCCTGTTGGCAAAAGGTCTCAGAGTGAGAAAGAAAGGAAACACAACTTCGAAGATTTCTCTGAACAGTTATAAACATAAGACAGCCTCCAAATTTAAGATAAACTTTTCGTTACATACAGTATTTAATGGAGCTAATTATAGCCTACTGTTTTGGTTTGGTTCATGGGATTGGCTTTCACTATGTAGCCCTTGCTGGCCTGGAACTTGCTATGTAGACCAGAGTGGTCTTGAACTCACAGAGATCTGCCTGCCTCTGCCTCCCCAGTGCTGGGATTAAAGGAATGTATGACCATGCCTGGCAATTGTAGCCTTTACAAATATAGAAAAATAATCAGAAAAGATGAATGAGAGAGAAGAGGACAGAAAAGGAACTACTGCTACCAAAGGGCACAAAAGGATCAATGGAAAATTAAATCAAAAGCAAGAAAAGAAAGCAAGTGAGCCTACCAACCAAGATGATGTTATGTGTTGAGTGTAGGAGCGTCATCACCAGCAATGGGACTGTATTAAAGTGAGTTGGATATATATACACAAGGAAACTTAGATATTTTCCCACACAAATGGAGAAACTTCCTAGTTATTTTGCCAGAATCAATCAAATGAATCAAAGTCAGGATTTCTCACCTGCAACACTGTTGATGTTTTGGGCCCACATCTCTGCTGTGGATGCTGTCCTGTGCATTGTCTGATAGGTAGTTGCAACCCTACTAGAAGCCAATAGCATTCCTGTCCCTCACAGTTTGACAACCAAAATGTCTCCACACAGAAGCCAAATGCCTCATGATGAAAAATCATTGCTCTAAATGCTATGTAATTACTCAGGGAAAAATGTCTCCACTGGGCTCCCTTTTAACAGTGCTACCAGTTACCCTTTCACGCAGATTCAGAATCATTGGCATTGGTCAACTCACTGTCAGTTAGTCACCAGAGAGGACCTCTGCACAGAAACCTGACATCTGGTTCTAGACCTTGATGTTACTGGCTCAGAAGAGAGAAGTCTGTATCCAAGGAACCTTCCAGCTCTTCTTTGAGTCTAAGTTCTACCAATGCAAAATTAGGAAATGAAGGGATACATGAATGCAAGGACAGAAGAAAGCTAGCAACTCGAAAAAAAAAAACATTTCAAAAGCAGGGCATGGTGGTATACACCTATAATCCCTGCACTTGGGAAGCAGAGGCAGGAGGATTAGGAGTTCAAAGTGAGCTTTGGCTACATGGCAACTTTGAGGCAAGTTGGGCTGCATAAGACCCCTTCTCCAAAACAAATGAACAAAACACAAAAGGAATCACTTCAAGAAAGGTCACTTTCATTTTCTTGTTGCATAGGGATGATGTAATCATTAGAATAATTCCCAACACCACCAATTACTGAAAGCAGTTAGTTGTATTTGTGTGTCACCAGGCCATGAGTTCCTTTGTAGTTCACTCTGTTCTTGGTCCAAGTCATAAATCAATGCCTCCATCATTTACAGAACAACCATCTCTAGTGTAGCTCTGTAATATTCTATAAGTAAAGTATGTTATCCTTTTTCTATGCCCCCAGAGGGAAAAGGGGCGAGTTACCGTTAACACTGGCTAAATGTGGAGGCAAAATGCTCAATTTCCTTCATGGTACCACATCCCACAACCTTGGTCTCCAGTAACTTCTGCAATAAATATCTGCATTTGCTGGTTCTTGAACATACCTTGGCTATTCCTATTGTCAATGACAAGTGGTAGCAAAGAAAGAAGGATGTGACAAAGGCAGAGAAGTACCAGAAGTAAGACAAGGGCAGGGGAGTCAGCCAGCTTTAGTCTGAATCTTCACCTCCATCTGCTGTGACTTTGAGGAGCAGGCTACTTAATTTTTCTAAGCCTCAAATTTCCTGATTTGTAGAGTAGGAATAATCAGAGTACACCTGAACCATAGGATTAAGAAGACTTAATGGACTGGGATTTTAAATGGCTTGGAGTAATACCTATCACAAAGTATATATAAACTTTTAAATTCTTAATTTCTTGTTTTAAATAAGCCTATACAATGTGACCTCTTGTTGGAGTGGTCACTCCAACCCTAATGTGACAAAAACCTCTAAAACAGCCATAATAGCTAAGCTGGATAGCCTAACATGAGCCTATGTTTCTATTTATATAAAACGGCTCCCTCATCATACACCTGCTATAATAGTACTTCATATGAGGACTTCCTCATGCTCAAGAAAAATCAAGACTATGCTAGCCTAACCTAGGCATACTTCATACCTGGATATCACGGTAGGACAGGAGTAAATTAATGATGATGTCTGAGGTTAGAACCTCAATGTTATCCATGCGGAGTTTGATCCGAGTCAGTTCCTTTGCCAGTTCATCACCCTGGTATTTTTCTCTGGCTTTCCGGATGTCATTTAACAGGGTTTCTTTGTAATACACACTGGAGGAGGAAACAAAAACCTCCTATCATATCTGTCTACATCCAGGACCTTCTTTAGTGTTCAAACCAGCATGGTTCTCACTGACATGATTTGGGTTAAAACATGGAGGAGACCTTGGCCAGCCCTAAGCCTCCTTCTGCCAGCATTTCTTGTTCACATAATGTAGCAATGAACCAGTAAGTGATAATAAAACTCAGTTTACTACAACCTTAAAAATCTATTCAAAGCTGAAATAATTCAGACAGCCCACAGGACATTCAATGTACCTCCCTCATTCTTAAATATATATAAGGCATGAAGGAAGTTTATTGAAATATTTGTTTTCACCACTAACAAGAGATTATCATAAACCAAACAAAATGTCAAAAAACATGAAACATAGGCAATTCACTTTTAAAACATTCTCATTTACTAAGTGGTCCCAGTTAGTAGTCATGAAGCTGTTCCTAGCTGAAGGATAACTGGAAACTGGTGTTGCATCCCTAAGAATCCAAAAAGTGGTACACAGCGGTCATGCCAGGAAATTTGCAGACAACTTTGCCCTTCACCCCTAGCTTTCCTTGTTATATTTGTCTGCCAGAATGTTTTTCTAATATAAAATACAAAATTCCCCTTGTGAGCATCTAGATAATAAGAGGATATGCAAAAACTTTTGGAACAGTTTAAATACACTATCTGGTACTTGATTTAAACCTTGAAAAACATCTTAATTTGGTGGGACAGAGGCCAACTTACAATGACCATAGACTGATTTAAATGTCTTGACTATTTTCCAAGTGATTTTAAATAGAGATTGGGCATTAGCAAGCAGTAATACTGTCAACCCATTAAGAAGCTAAAATGATCTAACTGTACAGAGCAAAATGAAACTGCTCATTAAGAAAAAGTAAACCAAATTAAATAATCACCTTTAGAGAAAGAAAAACAAACAGACAAAATAGGAACAAATGGCACTTACTCTGAATAATTAAAAAACTATGGCACATAAATGTACATGCAGTACATAGCCTGGTCCAATGCTCACAATAAGACCTCAGTTAACATTTAGAGAATAAAGTGACAGTCTAAAAAAAGAGGGTTCTAATGTAAAAATATCATCTTTCATCTTTATTTCCTTATTTGTCAACTGCTATTACCCTAATGATGCGCAAATTAGCAGATTCTGCCAGTGTTCAAAATTCTGTCATTAATTGAATGAGTCATTAAGTTGGGTGACAGCCATTGCCCATTTGGCAGACTATAAAGGCATTAAAGCTACTAAAGTGTTATTGGTTTAGCCTGAGAAGTAAAAAGTTAGATTTTAGTCTTGTTTTCCAGGGTAATTCTGAAAAACATTTAAATAAACAAAATATAATAAGAACAGTAACTTTTCAATAACTAAAACTATGTCATATGTGTTGGAGACATCAGATATGTAATAAATGTATAGGCATTTCTGCTCTGGTAACCAGGGAGGATGTTGCTAATGACTGTAGTTTTGGAAATGTTTTCAAAGTGATTTTTAGCATAAGACTCAAGATAGCTTATAAATCTGCCAGAATTAGCACTTGGACTAAGACCTTACCTGGCATCCCTATTATAGAATTTTTTCAACCAGAAGCACCATTCAACTTCTTAACTATCATCAGATGCCAGCCACCAGGTGAAATTCACCAAAAGGCATTTTGAGTCCTCAGAAAGTAAAACATGTGATAAAACTTGTTTTCCTCCTAATAAACAGATTCACTGAAGGAGAAACAAACTTGAACCCATTTCTTGCAAAGACCTGATTCACCTGGTAGATTCAAGCTATCTCCCTCTGTTATATCTGAACATATGTCACTGAGAGAAATTGCTTACTAAATTAGAATAAAACATTTCTTTTTCATAAGATAGCTGATAAAGTATCAAAGAAATCCCCTATTAGTGTGCTGCCATGTTGGTTGCCAGGCTTCTTTCCCACTAATATCTGCATCCAGAGAAGAGGCCAACAGGATAGAAAAGGTGAGAAGACTTAATATGGGTGACTCTCATGCCAAGATTTTAATGATAACCCTCCACAGTTCAGAGTACCATAATTTGAGTGAAAGCATGACACGAGGACCTTGAAATTTTATTCCCAGTCATTTCTGCCAGGCCTTTGAATTTTCATTTGTTTTGTAAGAACAAATCCTTCTTATGACACAACTTGCAGGAATAAATCCTTTAAATTGGCTGCAAACAAAACTGAATCTTTCAATTAAGACTAACTTCCTGCCTTTAACTTATTACAAACATTGAAGGTACGGTTTCTTAAACACTGAGTTTCAAAGAGCGGAAATGACTTTCCCAAGGCTACCAAGTGAAGAATCATCTAAGCCAGGATTCATATTCAAACTTGTATACCTCTGAGTGAGTATGCCATACCACATGACATAAATCTACAGATAACATGTCACAGGACATCCTGAGGTCAGGTTGGCTACAGCTTGAATCAACCCATGCTCATAAGAACTTAAGGTCAGAATGACCTTTCTCTGGCATTTTAAGAACCTGAGTAACTGAGGGAGTACAAAGCCATGTTCAGAAATTATCTTAAGACACAGACTCTCAAAGTTGAAAGAGATCATTAAAAACAATCACTGAGTTAACGTCCCTGTTTTCTAGAGGAAAAAAAAAAGCCACAGTGAAGAAGAGTTACATATTAAGGTAACACAGGACATGGGGAGTTAGGACTAGATTCAGGCCCAATTCTAACCATGTAACTCATCTTCTCTTCTGGCTTCATCTCAGGAACTCAGCTCAGTGAGGCACCAAGGGAGCAATAGTGAATTCCAGGATATTTTTTAAGTGGATGGCCAACCTTCCCCATCCTCTGGGCATCCTGGACACTTCAAGGTATTCCACACATACCCACCCTCAAAGTGAAGTGAAAAATTTTCAAGAATCTCAGAAAATTACCATGAGGTCACATGGATGTCCTTAAGGAGGGTAATGAACCTGTCCACCAGGGGCATACATAGTGGGCCCAGGATGGTGTCCCAGTTGGGTTGTATGTACTCCGAGGCTCGCCTTTGGGCATCATTCTCGCAGCAAAAATAATCAGCACATGGCGTCACAATGTAGGGAATGAAATAATAATTCCCACTAGATGCCTGGAAAAAAGAAACAAAAATGTTCCAGAAAGCAATTGACATAGAAGCACAGCTGTGGTTCTGGTCAGGTAGACCTGGGAGGAGAAGATGCCCTGTATAAACCACACTTTGTACAACAGCGTTTCTAATATGTTAGGCTCAAAACAGGAAACCACTCATTTTCAAAATCTCTACCAAATAAATAACATGACAACAATTTGGTTTCAACTGATAAACTGACCTGTGTATACCTCTGAATTTTATTAGCAAAAATGCTCAAGAGTTTTCAGTTTTAGAAATTACATTGATTCACTCACTACCTGTTCCCCAAACCAAAAAGAACTTGAATCCTTTGATAACCAAGGATTATAATGTGGCATACTGTTGTTTTTAAGCATAGATTAAAAAGGCACATTACTTGACAATACAGGTAAACTATTAACTTGGGCAAATAAAAATTTTTTATAAGAAACATCAATTAATATTAGTCTCAGATCTTTTTTAAAAACTACTGAAATTGTCTTCATCCTTAAGTAACAGCCAGGTAAATCAACATCTTCTTTTCTATGGAACAATGATAGTTGACTATGAATCACATTCCTTTGTAAAGCATTACCTTTAAAGGGCATTACCCAAGTATTCAATTTTTAGCACATTTAGAGGCTAAAGCTACATTCTTTATATGATATTATTACAGTCAATCTTTTTATATCTATAGATTTAAATATTCATACTATATATAAGTATATAATATACACAAATAACTATGGAATATATATATATATATATATATATGTAATTACATAGGATGAAGACCAAGGGCCTGATTCTGGAAAACAGTCTATTTGAAAATACTGGATGTTTAGTTGGATCAAATCCAGTAAGGATTAGCACTCAGGAGGTGGAGTCAGGAGGAGCAGAAGTTCAAAGTCATGCTCAGCTACATAGCAAGTTTGAGGCCACCCTGAGATTCATGAGACTTTAGCTCTGAAAAAAAAGAGACCTTCAATTCCTGTATCTCATCTTTCATTTTTAATGAATGTATATCACGTGAAAAATACTTGACTTCTTTCAGTTGAAGTAATAAATAGATGCTCAGGGAGTTTGATCTAATGCAGACATAACCTGAGAAAGCACACTTTCTTGAGGCTAGAGAGATGACTGGGTCAATAAAGTGCCTGCTGCAGAAGCATGAGGACCTGAGTTGGGATCCCCAGAACCCAGATAGAAGGCAGACACCGGGCTTATCTAGAACCCCAGCTCTGGGGAGTGCACACGTACAGATCTCCAGATCTCACTGGTCAGCCAGCCTAGGTAAATCCATAAGCTCCAGGTTCAGTAAGAGACTGTCACACACACGCAAAAAGGTAGAGAATGATTGAGGAGGATGGATACTGGACATCAATCTCAGGCTTCCACACTGGTGCACCCCTTCATGAATATGTACATATAACACATATAATGTATATATTTTTAAAGGCACACTTCCTCCAAGAACTGAACATCAATCAAGGAATAAGACTTCTTTAAAATTAAAGAGAAATTTATTAACTTCAGGGAAAATCGTCAGAATGCCATAATTTAAGATCAAACAGGAAACCAGGGGAAATTTACAACATCTAAGAAGTATTCTATTTGAGTAAAATCAGCTTACAGAATAATCAGCAGCATTTTTGTTTCTAGCTTAACTTAAAATGTAATTCTCCTGAAATTCTCTCCTTTTTCTATCTTGTTGGGCTCTATGACGACACATTTTGAATCTTAAAATTATATATTTTGAGGCGGGCGTGGTGGTGCACGCCTTTAATCCCAGCACTCAGGAGGCAGAGGCAGACAGAGATCTCTGTGAGTTCAAGGCCAACCTGGTCTACATAGTGAGTTCCAGGATAGCTGGGGCTACAGGGAGACCCTGTCTCAAAAAGACCAAAAAAAATTATATATTTTGTTAAAAACCATCACAAGCACTGCTTTACTTACAGTGAAAACTAGGGGAGCTGATTTTTTTTCTTTTTGAATTTTTAGTGTTTAATAAAAAAAATTGGAGGGGAGGAGGTGTTAGAGAAATGACTCCGCAGTTAAGAGCACTTGTTGCTCTTATAGAGACCAGGGTTCCATTCCCAGCACCCCATGGGAGCTCATAACCACCTGCAACTCCTCAGGCATCACATGACACAGGTGCACTTACATACATGCAGTCAAAATACCCATAAAATTTTAAAAATGTATGTGTGTATGTAGGTCAGAGGACAGACAACCTCTGGTGTCAGTCTCAGCCTTCCATCTTGTTTGAAAAAACAGGGTCTTAGCCAGTTGTGGTGGTGCACAGCTTCGATCCCAGCACTCAGGAGGCAAAGGCAGGCAGATCTCTGTGAGTTCAGGACCAGCCTGGTTTACATAGCGAGTTCCAGGCCAGTTGGGGCTATAGGGAGACCCTGTCTCAAGAAGACCAAAAAATAAATATTTTTTTAATTTAAATTATGTGTACATGTGCATGTTTGTGTGTGTTTGTACATGTGAGTGTGGTGCCCAGAAAGACCTGAAGAGGCCATCAGAGCCCCTGGAGCTGGATTTACAGGTGAATGTGAGCTGCCCTGATGTCAGTGCTGGGAACAGAACTTGCCTTCCCTGGAACTGCAGAATGTGCTCTTAACAGATGAGCCATCTCTCCATCCCTGTTGGAAGGGTTTCTAAGGTGCCTCCCCACCACCTCCTTTCCCCTCTTTTTTGATAAGTGAAACTCCTGAGGTGCCTTGCAAAGGACTACAACCTAATAAGGTAAAACCATAGGTCACAAAGGTTGCATGAGGTGGTTAAGATTTGTCTTTTATCATAAAAGAAAGCTCTTGTGAGATTCCTAGAAAACTGCAGGTTTATAGATGGGAAGGGCACTTAGGTCTTATTTTATTTATTTATTTTTTGTTTTGAGACAGGGTCTCACTAAGTAGTGCTGACTGGCCTGGAACTCATAGAAAGCCACCTGCCTCTGCCTCGTGAGTGCTGGGACCAAAGGCATGTGCCACCACACCCATCCTTATTTTAATATCCTTTTTTTTACTCTATTTAATTTAATAACCCCATGATTAGAAGAAGAATTTCATTACAGCTTTAATATATTCAGTAACAATTTCCACAGCAAGGATTCATCTCTTTCAAAAGTAGCTGTAAATTTTTAGGCTCACAGTTGAATTAATACAGTTATACAATATTGAACTCAGTATATAGGCCCTGTAAGACATAGAATTAAATGAGTTTTTACCTTTTAAAGAAGATCTCCATTTCATTTTCTAATATGCTGTTTCCTACATTTTTAATGCTACTAATACTTAGATGTTTGCATGTGTGCCTTTAATCTCTATGTATCTGATTATTACTAGTCACAGTCAGTTACACTCAGATCCTTGGCACCTGTGTATGGATATAAAGTGTAATGTTTATCATCCCTACTAATTAACATGAAGTAAATTTTTATGCTTCCTCCTCAAATATGTCTTTTTCATTAATTTGTTGATTTGTGTGCATATCATACAGAACATCCCACATAATCTTTTTCATCTATATACCCACTTCCCAAATGGTACCCTCCCATAGCCTCCCACACACACATTGGAGCCCATATATTCTGTCATCCCTGTTACTGTCCACTGTGTTGTCGGCACCCGTAGCCATTCCCACTGCTTGTCCATCTGCTGAATCTAGTCAGCCTATCTTCATAAGTATTAGATGAGCAATATTGTGGGTTTTGCAGACCTCAAAGTATCTGTTCCAACTACTCTACTCTGCTTTTGGAGTGCAGAAGGGGAAGCACATCACCCACAAACACCTGAGCACGGCCATGTGCCAAGAAAATTTTATGTATGGACACAAATTCAGAGTTCCTATTTTTATGTATCCTAAAATAGTTTTACTTCCAATCATTTAAAAAATATTTTTGAATATCTTGGGGCTGGAGAGATAGCTCAGCAGTTAAGAGCCCTGGCTGCTCTTGCAGAGGACCCAAGTTCAGTTCCCAGCACTTGCTTGGTGGCTCACAACTGTCTGGAACCTCAGTTCCAAGGGATCCAATGCCATCTTCTGGCCTCTACAGGCACCAGGCACACATGTAACATACATACATGCCAGTAAACAATACACATAAACAAAAATAAATCTATTTAAAAATCCTTAGCTCAAAGGCCATACAAAAAATAAGTAATGGGTCTACCTTTGTCTTCAAATAAGTTATCAGATAGTCCATTAACTGTGAAAATATGATTCTCTGAGAATAATTACCCTGCTGTGGAGACCATTTCTGAGGGTACCAGCTACTGGCATTAAACCCAACAATACAAAAGTGCCAGGGTTACAAATATAATGGGCAACAGTTCATGCGTGTGGATGATGACTGGAAAAGGGTGGCTCATAAGAATTTCTTCACTATCACCAGGAACTGACTGTGCCAGAGGACTAAAAGACCCTCCTCCTCCATCCTAGTACTTTGAAGTTCTCAAAGAGACTTAAATTGCTGAGCAAACAAGGGTTTTGGCAGGTCAGAGAAAAATTTCTCCCTCATCCATGCTAGGAAATCTAAGTTGCTAAGGCAAATTAAATTAAATGCCATTTACAGATTCAAAAGTTAAAATGTTCTTTTAACCGAAATTGTTGGACTCTATGATAAAAAGCCTTCCTATTTCAGATTGAGAGAGGAAAAGACTGTGTGGATTGATGAGAGCCAAAAGGTAAAATATGTTTGAAAAATTATAGTTTATTTTCTGGGACTTTGTGTTAGACTAGAAGTACCCCAAGTTCCTTGGAGCCTAACTCCAAATAAATTACCATAACTAGTGAAATTCTTTTTTACAAAACCATTTAAAGTCTCCATAAATGGTTCTAAGGACATATAACAGAGAAAACAATCTGGTCATGAAAAACATACTAAATACTGATAAGAAAAGTGAGATTCCGAAGCATTTAACCTGCTCTTCCTCCTTGCCCAATCTCAAGTGACAGAAATTTTACCCTGGGTGAGTGTGACCAAGAAGATG